GCGCCTTGGCGACTGCCGTGAAGATGATGTCCTAGACCGTGGCGACGTTGTTGGAGCTGCTCCATGTTGGAGGTATCCAGATCGAGTACTGGTCTCCAGGTAGCTATCCATGGGTGACTCCGCACTAGAAGTTTCGCAGCTTTCGGAGGTGACATGAATTCCAAAGGTCATCTCCAGTCAGGCTGCGATTGGAGATGAGTTCATATTGTGGTTTACATGAAGGTGATGGGCCAGAGCCAGCTCCTGCTTATCGAGGAACATCGTGGGTATCTTCCGCCGTGGTAACGTACAATACCGCCCCCAATTTTTGGAAAAAAAAGCTGCTTAATCCGCCGGAAACCGCCGCAAACCGCCGCAATACGCCGCACTGCTATAACTCCTTCCAAAAGAGCTCAAATGAAAAGCCAGGCATACCCTTAGATTCAGCTCTACGCGGCGAATCCAACGGTACAATAATCGCTAAAATTCCTTGGAAAAGAAATGACAAAAAACGCAGATCCCGCTTTTTGACCCTTTTTTTGTTATAACTCGATTTGTGTGAACCTCTCTTGTACAGAACCACTGCTAGACTCAGCTCGTCGAGTTCTATAAGCTAGCATCCCAAAAAACAGAAAAAGTGGAAAATGAAACTGTGCTTTCTATCGAAGTACCTGAGGACATTCGTTAGCGAGCGAGTCTCGTAAATAATATATAATATATAATTGTAACCACAGGGCAAACGTTGGGAATTAAATCATTGTAAGATCAAATAATGTACTGCAGCGCGTGAGAAGTGATCGAAAACTAGACAGTTGTGTTTTCCAAAGGCTGCTGATCATTTTGGTGCCCATTTTCCCGAAAATTGAGGGGTTTCGCTCGATCTCACTTCCGGACGATATAGCCTTTTCAGTCCGAAAAATCTCGAGCTGTGGTTTACTTCGGACCACATGATGTGGTTTACTTCGGACCACATGAGTACAACGTGTCTAATATATGGATCCCTGCTTTCCTTGATGTTCGCGACTTTCAAGAATCGAAGAAAGTCGAAAAGAAGAGTTTTTTCAACACTTGCAAAGGGCTTTTCGTGCTATACCAGAACAATTGCTCGATTTTCAGCGTTTCCAAACAGGGCTCCCAGCGCTCTGAGTGGCTCTGCGAGTTCCATAATGGAGCTTTATACAGTACGCCCTGTGCTTTTAGACAACTTAAAGGGAAGTAGCGGCATGTGGCAGTTGTTATCGGGTGCCAACTCCAAGACCATTTCAAAGCAAATATCACATGTTTTTATGAGGAGAAAATTCCAGTCAAAGGTACACCATTCAAATCGCTATGAAAAATGCTATTCATTCATATAAAAATCATCTCGTGGAACTTACTACAACTTCTCCCGTTTTTTACGGCTATCTGCCCTGTTAACGGTCAATCGACTCCTAGGTAATTATCCCACCAATGTATCAGAGCACTGCATCGATCAATCTTAGTGATTTCATCGACCAACGTGCTCTCTTCTGTCAACTAATTTGGAAATGTTTTGTGAGGAATGCCGCTCTAGAGAATGTTTCTCTTATTTCAAATTTGAGTTTTCATCAAAATTCTAAAAATTTCCCATTTCGAACCACAAGCTCTTCCATCATGAATCAATATTCGTTGTCCTAGTAACTCTCCATGATCCACCAGATCATGGAGAGTTACTATGAATCGTCCAACCAAATTCTTGTACCTGAAGACAATCGAATGGTTTGTGCAGAGTTATCAATTGCTCACCTGTTTTGGTCCGGGTATCGATATAGTTTTGTACTTACAAGTTATCCTGGGTATTTGATCCTGTTTACCTACCGTTTTCATACCACACACAAATATATTGTAAATTACTTTAACCATTGTTATCGCCTTTACGAAGCCTCAACCGATCGCAGCTGTCGACCTCGGCGGTACTTCCGCTAATCACCTTAGGACCTTTTTCGCACATCATCAAGTGACTACAAATCGAATGTGCTCGAGATTTTACTACTTGTTTGAATGAATTAGGTCCCAATAGACTCGAAGGAAGTATTCTGCACAATGTTTGCTATGATTCTATTCGAAGTTCAGGGTGACATTCGGAGGATTTTTAAACTCTTCAATGCCAGAGCCTTATAACGAAATGAGTCGCTTGAAGCAGTAGAGCATAGAAAAATCTGCTGCATCCCGTTATATTACGCAAGTTTTATGGAGGAAATGAAGATAAATCAATGGAAGAGCTTGTGGTTCGAAATACGAAATTTTTAGAATTTTGATGAAAACTCAAATTTGAAATAAGAGAAACATTCTCGAGAGCGGCAGTAATCACAAAAGATTTGCGAAATAGTTGACAGAAGAGACCACGTTGAAATTACTAAGATTGATCGATGCAGTGCTCTGACACATTGGTGGGATAATTACCTAGGAGGTCGATTGACACAAGAGAGATTCGGCAGGCCGATGAGTCGTAGCAACCGTAACCCAAGTTGATTGGGGCGCGGATTCGGATTGGAGCATGCATGACCCTGGTCCTCTCCCTTGCCTTGTTTTTGTGATAATTTTTTCCCTGTGGTACCTATAATATATCCTTTTCTAAAAGAATCAGCTGTACGACTTTCACTCATTTGAGATCCGACTTATTGAGAACCCTATTTTGTTGCTTAATATGTGGTGTATAGCGTGCTGACCTTTATTCCAGGTTCAACTCAACTGTTCACAATTGCTAGTTACATAAATTCTTTAATTTGGAAGCTGAAAGGTTGATTTTTATACATTATTATCTAGTGTTTTTTTCTGAGGGCTTGTCGTCCTCACAATTTCTTCTCGCAAAATGCGATTTTTTTACAACATTCTTAGAAATCGTTCTGTTGAAACCATAAGAATCAGGGGCCATCTTTAGTCAGCGATTTAAGTCGAGTCTACACGTCCCCCTCCACTTTTTTTTCTAGGGGGTTATACGATCCCCCCTGGTTCGCTCCCTATTCGAGCTGCCGAAGGGGGGGGGGAGGGGTAGCACTTAGAAACAGTAACAACCATGAAAAGTCAGCGACCTTTCTCAGACGATCAGAACGCAAATGCGACTCCCCTCTCAAAGCGACCAAATACAATCCCACCGGTTGAGGAATCTCCAACAACCATGTGCCCTGATAAGAGATCACTTTCTAATTAGGAGTGGTTAAATGGTCTACAATGTCAAAGTAAAAAGAGGGAGATTGAATTTCACTCTGTGTTTTATCTCTGAGATGTTCTTCTCGAACGACCGGGCAGTGAAAGATCACTCAGTGCATTTTTCAGATATGCCATCGCCGTCTGAGCGCTTCTTGTGTGGTGAGGAAGTCAAACGCAGTTTGTATGACCATCTCTTCAAATACCACGATTATACGAAGAGACAGCTGGAGCGTCTGAAATGGTCAAGGAACCAAATTAGAAAACGGGGCAATGAAGAGAACAACATCCTTGTTGCGAATCGGCAGTCGCCTGTGGGCCACACACAAGGGTCACCGAAGGGTCGGTGAGCTTAGTCCTACTCCCGGAGCTGTCCTACGTGCGACCTGGCCAGTATCGTACGTAATCCGTCACACCCAATGGCTTTTAGCTACCTAGAGGCTACTTTCCCCGTGATCCACTCTGTACATAACATTGAAGTAATAAATGGTTATACCCTTACACCAGAATACAAGAAAGGACTAATCTATTTATGTCTTTGAAGTATACGAGATAAGATGTGGGTGTTAGTAACTCAATGATAAACACTGGAATAACTGAAGGATGAGAGAACATGTTAGAAACACAACTCACGTCGGGCCACCGCTCGTAGCCTGCTAGTTGACCAAGGAGAAATTTGATAGAGTCATAATGAATAGCAGTTCTAAGGGCCGAGGCCCCACGTGTCCGTCGCCGAATATGGAATAGTCGCGAGACGACCGCTTCGTAGCTAGACAGATGATGAACTAACCGGGAGGCCGTGATGGACGCCCTTTTATAGGCGCCGCACTTCGAGTGCGATCACGGATAGATCATAGTTGGTCATGGCGACGGTTACACGTGAGCACCGGCGCACCCTGAGGGATTTCCCTCGGGAGCGATCCTCGCGATCCGCGACACTCCCGCCCACAAAGAATCCCTCATTGGGCCTAAGCCTGAGCCCCCCGACTGCAGGCCGAGCGCACGGTGTGCTGCCAAAACCCGGCTTGACGCCAAAGAAAAAGAGTAGAAACCTTGGTCTTGTAGCTTAGCTTAGAGAAAGGGCTCGACTCCCATAATGAGCTAGCGCTACTATAAATGGAACTTATTACACTTAACTAAACAAGAAACAAAAGGCACTAATTAGCAACAAAACTAGATAAGTGAGGTAATGGATTAATAACAACGAGATAGCATGGTAAAGCACTTGAGTAAACACGAGGATCCATATACCGGCGTAATAATGAGGTTAGTAATAGGAGGCAAAATTATAACTTCAATGAGATTAGTAATGATAACATAACAGTAACAAATTGTAGTAACGAAGAAATAATGTAGTATGGTTATAATATGGCGTCGTAAACAGCAGCGGATATATACTTGAAGTAGTCGCGTGTGTCGGATCTGGAATTAAAGAATACACTCAAGAAGTAAGCGAACGAAAATGAAAGTAAACTTAGGGATAGAGTTCCCAAAGTGAACTATTGTCATAATTGAGTGTCGTAAGAACCGACGTCGGCGTTAAGCTGCAAGTGACGTAAAGCCTGAAGTGAGTAGGTGAGATAACAGAACAAGTGGTTAGAAAAAGGGGGTAAATACAAATGTAAAACTGAAGCCTCTTTGTGAACTATGACGAAATACCATTGGCGAAGTAATAATGGTGGTAGACAAGATGGCGCAGCGGTCGACGTCCTAAATGAACGGTTAAGGAAACACATAATCACTTACCTGCTGCGTCAGTCGATAATCGTGCACCATAATTACGTCGGCCACGGTCGTGTCTCTGGATTAAAGGGGAAACAAATGGACTATAAGGATGGAGTACGCGGGTGGTTGAACTAATACGAGTCGTCGCTGACGTCTGGCGAGAACCCCATATCCCTGGCCAATTCCGAGGCAGAGGGTCGTGGCGAAGGCTCTCGCACTCTCTCACGTGCCGGCTGGCGAGAAGGTCCCGGGCGGTCGGCATCCTGTGTCCTGTACCGGTCTCGGAGAGGTCGGTCGTATCGTCGGCGAGGAACGCCTCCTTCAGGCGGTGGCACGTAGGTGTGGTAGCTAAGCATCTCGTAAAGCTCGTCCGGCGGCATGTTGCCCAGATCGTTGACGGCAAACGGATTGAACACGCAGAACGATCTATGATGCCCTTCCTTCTCGCACAGACTGCAAGGGTCTCTGCGGAGGCACGAGGCCCAGTGCACTTTGAGGCAGTTGCTGCAAATCCCCTTCTCTTGGCTATGTCTAGCCGGGTGGATAGGTAAGGGTAGGCATCGCAATCCGACGAGTAATGGCCCATCTGCCTGCAGAAGGTGCAAGGTTCCACCTTTCCATGTCTCTCCGAAGGCACTTCGCGCACGGGGAACCTAGAGCGAGAGCGGTGAGCGGGAGGTTGACGTAGTGCCTGTCTCCCCTGAGAGTCATGACTAGGGCCTGACGCGGTGGACTGCGTGGCGGTACTCGTCTCCCGTAGGAACCGCGACTAGGCGAGCGACGTGGTGGACTACGTGGGGGTGTTCGTCTCCCGTAGGAGCCGCGAGTAGGCGAGCGACGTAGAGGACTACGTGATGGTGCTCGTCCTCTATGAGGGCTACGACTAGGGGAACGACGGGTTGGACTACGGCGGGACTTCGCTGGTGGTGCCGCGACTTCTTGTGGCATGATGGCGAGGGTACGCTTTCGCTTCGTTGCTCCCGAGTGTGATTCAGGTGGATTCGGAGGAGTGTTGGACCGTGGTCCAGCAGCCTCCGGGCGAGCGGGAGTTAGTTGCTTGTGGGAAAAACAGCTTTGGAATAGTTATCGTTGTTGCGGGTCGTTGCGACGGCTGCTCTGGGGCAGTTGGAGGGTACCCGCGAGCGTGTTCCTGCTGTACTCTATCGAAGCGAGAAACCTCAAGATAGTCGTCTGTTCTTCTTATTAGCAACGCGTCGGAGTAGTTCTCGCGCCACCAGCGTAAAGTCTGAATGTACGAACTAGGTTCGTCCGACCATGGAGGGGGATTGTAGAACGCCGACTGGAATCTGTATTGTTCGTCTTCAGCTGTGACGCGGACCGTTTTACGGTTCATGATGTGGACCATTTGGTGGGCTTCCATCACTCTGATCATGCGTGTGGCATGGGCTGTGACGGCTGAGCAATGTTGGAGTATTTCCATGACTTTTTGCTCAGTTAAGCCGACCAGCTGAAGGGTGGCTCTAAAGAAGTCCGTGTCGTCGTCCCACTTAAATAGACGGGGGATAAGTAGTTCCTGGAGTAGATCTCGGTTGACTGAAATGGAAGTAATACTATGAGTCAATTCGTGGATCCAGCCCATTAGATGGGTGTATCTGATGTCGAGGGGCTGGCGTCTTACTAGTAAAACAGCAAGATTGTGAAATGACTCAGTAGTATACTCTACTATTTCGAGCAACGTTTTCGTTATATGGACTACCTGAGAGACTGCATCGAAGTCCGACGGGCGGGCAGGCGTGGTTTCTCTGTCCGGGATCGTGATGTTCCTGATTTGGTCTCTCAGGACGTTGTTAGTTGTTATGTAGTCGAACACAGTGCGGAATTGACGTGCTGTCAGTTCCTCAACTGTGTACGGCTCCGCATTAAATGAACTATAGGGGGCTACATAAGGGTTTCCTGCAATTGAAACAGCCGTTGGATTCGTCCTGAGGGGCGCGTTTCGTCGTGTTGGTTCTGGCTCGTCTGAAAACTCTTGAAGAAATTCCGCCACCTGATCCATTCTTTCTTGCCTTTTCTTCAACGCTTGTTCCTTTGCTTCTTTTTCTGTCTTTTTGTCGGTAATTTTCTTGGTTTTCGTTCGCCAAACTGAGTAGGAGCCTCCCTCTGGTGTTGTTGTCCCTGCGGGTTCCCAATCGTCCGGATCTTCTTGAGTAGGAGCTTCTTGTTGGAGTTCTGATGTTCCCTCCTGGACTATTTCCATGGGCTCCTGGGTGGACTCCGAGGTTTCCTGGGTTTCCAGTCTCTTCGACGCTGAGGGAGGCTACGGCCGTAGACATCTCTGTATCTGTCTGTTTTTTCGTTTCGTCTGTCGTATCCGATGTGCCGGCCCAGTTAGGGTCTCTTGCTGCCAGTTCCATGACGATTTGTTGTGCCCATGAGTATTGGATTTGAGGTTCCACGAATGGTGACGAGTGGGACCTGGTCGGACTCTGGGTTTCGCCCCTGGTGGTGTGATGTTGTGGACTAGTGCGGCGGCTGGGCGGTGCTGGAGTAACGCGCACAGAGCGGGTACTGGAAGTGGGTCTGGATGGACTAGTGTTATTACCGTGGCTTACGTCAGACCTACCTCTGTGCCTTGGACGACGACTCCAACCGCGGGGTTCTTTTCCCTTGAAGGATTTGGGACTACCATGTGGTGAACCCATAATAGTAGCGAATGGCAGGAATAGTTGTAAATCGAGCTCTAAAAAACGAGCTCTTCGAATAAGGTTAAAATTGTAAAACGAGTGCGATTACGCGAACGATGGTTAAAAATAAATTGAATGGAATAAGGTTCATGAGTTAGTGTTGAGTATGCAATTGCAATGCGAACTAAAAAAAATTTAAAAAATGGATGTTGAATCGGTTGTTAGTCGTGAGATTTGTTAGATGAAGAAGTGGATTAATTGTTTTGTGGTGAGAAGATCGTTGGGATGTAGGCGACGTGCATTAATTGAGATCAATGAGATTATGATTTGAGAATATTTGCGTTTTGTGAATGAGATGGTAATGATGAAGGAATTTATGGACTAATATCATTTGTTTTATTATGGGAATGTGTGGATGGATAGAATACTTCAAGTGATAGTAGTCCATGGATCAATATTGATCGAAAATGAGAATTTACTATTTTGTGTAAAAAGGCATGAACTAATTGACATTATGCTTAAATTGTGATGAAATGAAACTTGGATATAAAAATTTAATTATATGAAGTTAAGGTGTTATGAATGTTGTAAATAGTAATGATGTAGAGAGTTAGTTCAAAACGTGTCGCCTTTTTGGCTAGTTTATGAGCAATTGGTGAGTGGCGACTTTTAGGAGATTGAGATGGACTAAAAGGTTGAAGAAGATACATGATAAAGTAGATAATGATGAGAGTTACTTATTTCAAAATATGTCGCCTTTTTGACTAGCAACTTTGAAAGGAATATGATGAGAAATGGAATATAGGATGTAAAATAGTAAGGAGGCGCGACACCGAGAAACTGAGGTTGATTGAAGGCAATAAATGATCAAACGATTATTAAGTGAGAAGGTAAATGGAGGAAGAGTAGTTATTTCAAAATGCGTCGCCTTTTGGACTACTTGATCTTAATCTAACGATTACGAAATATTAAAGGTAACATATAATGCTAAAACGTGGCGACTGTAGTGAATAAAAGGTGCCATAATCGGCTCGTACCTGATTATGTCGATTGAGGAACGAATAAATGACCACAACGGAAGTAATATAAGGAGTAAATGATAATGTGAAGAATGTCGTTGACTTGTAGACCGCGTCGAATGAAGGCGTCGTCATGAGATCTTCGAATTTCGTCATTTCGGCGTTGGCGCGTGTCTTACTGTAACTTCCTGTTGGGATCATTTTTCGTTTAATTTATCGGTTCCTTTAATTGGATATCGGCTGGAATGGAGTTTAGTACACTGTTATTGACTCTTTTTGTTATGATTGTAATTTGTGTATTATTGATGTAATGGAAAAGGAATTGAAGGTATGAGCAGCTAGATAAGAAGACCACCAAGTATTTGTGTGTTAGTTCATGGTAGTTTTGAAGGATGTAAGTTATAGTGATGAAATTTATAATTGTGAGAGAACTTACTTTGCTGCTCGTTCCTTCGCTATTCGCTTCGGTTGTATTCGTGTAGGTTTTTCTCTTTCCTTTGGTTGTTTTTCGGTTGAGGTGCCCTCTTTTGAAATAATTTCAAGAGGGATCAGCTGATTGATAGATCTATCTAAAATTTTATTATTTCCGGTTTTGATTTTCACGGATCGTACTGATCCGTCAACGGAATCGTTAATTTGTACTACAAGGCCAAGGGGCCACAGCGATCGTGGAGTACTTTCTTGTTTCATTAGTACTACTTCTCCAATCGTTGGAATCTTTGTGGCGTGTTTCGTAAAATTGGCTCGATTTTGATTACGTTCTGCCAGATTTTGAAGATAGTCTTTTTGCCAATGATTCCAAAACGTCGTTAGTGACTCTTGGAGTAGTACATATGAATTAGTTAGGTCTTCCTGTGATTCTAAAACGAGTAATTGATCGCTGTTGTTAAATGCCTCTACGCTGGGAGATGTGAAATGAGGGTTAATGAGGTCAATTGGCCGTAGTACAAATGCGGTATCCGTTGAATTGGTTACGACTGGAGTGATTGGTCGTGTGTTTAGCATGGACTCTATTTCTGAAATAAGAGTTTGCTAGGTCCAAATATCGACAGTGCGTCTATGGATGGTTTTCTTCAGTGCTGATTTTACTGATCCTACAAGCCTCTCGTAAAATCCGCCTTTCCAGGGGGAAAGAGGTGTTATGAATTTCCATTTGAGGCCTTTGGACGTTGTAAAATGTTGGACTACTGGGTTCTCCTTAACTTCGCGTAGCTCGTTCGTCAGGACTTCTTTGCCTAGCTTGAATGTGGGCGCGTTATCGCTGAAGACTAGAGCAGGTGTTCCTCTACGTGCCATGAATCTTCTAAAAGCTAGGACGAATTGTGAAGTGGAATTGTCGGCTACGATTTCTAGGTGCAGGGCGCGAGTTGCCATGCACGTGAAGAGGCACACCCAGAGTTTTGTGTCTTCTCCTCGTTCCGGACGCACTGTTAGAGGACCGAAATAATCTAACCCTGTATTTTGGAAGGGTTTGCTTCGAATTACTCTTTGTATAGGCAGATCCGGTCGTCGCGGGTATGGGAATGGTTTTCCCTGGTATCTTCTACAGGTGACGCATTTCTTGACGACGGAGTTCACTATCCTGCGGATTCTGGGGATGAGATATCGATTCCTCAGGTCCGCTATCATATGCGATGCTCCGGAGTGTAATAGTTTATGATGCGTCTCCTGTATTATCATTCTTGTCAGCCGATGGGTTGGCAGGAGCAGGATCGGGTTTTTCGCCGTTTCGGCGATTTCTGCATTTGCCATGCGTAGGTCTCCGCGGTATATTCCGTGGGGGTCTTGTGATACCTCTAGGCGTTGTACTGCGCGACCCTGGAGCTGTAGAATTCCTTCGCGGTAATGTTCCCGTAGTAATAGGATTTCTGCGGCTTTTATGTCGTCTGCGGTAATCGGCTTCGTGGTAGATACAAGAGTTAATATTCCATAGTTGGATTCGTTTACCGACGTGCCAGATTTGCTCTTTTGTCTGAGACAAGCTATATATTTTAGTACATATGCAGTAATTCGAAGTAATTTGGAGTATGAATTGGTTTTGTCAAATGGGATGAATGATTTATAGTATCAGTAGTAGTGGTGGTTGTTGTTATGGATTTGAACTCCTTTTGGGCTTCTTTTGTTGTGGTGGGCTTCGTTGTGAAGTCCATTTCGATGTTCGGCCAAGTAGTTGTAGGTGTCAATATGAAACTAGGCCCGTGCCACCACATGTGATTAGTGAGCTCGGAGGCAGATAAGCCTTTTGTTGCACAGTCCGCTGGATTGTCTTCTGTGTTGACGAAGTGGAATCTGTGAGGTATATTTGCTTCTATGAGCTCGTTGATCACTTCTTTCACCTTCTTGACCCTATTGTTGACGAAGGTTTTCATTTGTTTGTTGGAGTGTATCCAGTAGAGGGCTATCTGGGAATCAGATAGCAGGTGTACTGAACTAAGAGGAATTTGGAGATGGGTTCGTAGGAAGCGTACCATTTGTGTAGCCAAAACGGAGCCTAGTAATTCTAGTCTTGGAATTGACGTCTTTTTGAGGGCAGCCAATTTAGCTTTTGCAAAAAGCAGATGGCTAAATGGTTTTCTTCTTTTTGGCCTGCATACTAAGTATGCGGCTGCTGCGTAGGCCCTTTGTGAGGCGTCCGAGAAAATTACTAGGTCGTACTTCGTACTGTTTTCTTTGGCGGTTATGAAGCGGGGTACGTTTCTAATGAATCCTTTGATGTCCTCTGTGATACATTTCCATTTCTGTAACGTTGTTTCGTCGAAAGGGTCGTCCCATGAATAGTTTTGAATCCATAGGTCTTGTATGAAGATTTTGGCTTTAATGAATAGTGGTGTTAGGAAGCCCAATGGATCAAATGTAGAGGCGAATGCTTTTAGTGCAGTACGTTTAGTGGTTACTTTTTTAGTTAGTGTTTTTATTGGGGTTGTTAGTGTATCTTGTTGTGTATCCCATTTTAGTCCTAATAGGTTCACTGTAGTAGTGTTGCTCTTGATTCTATCTTCAATAGGGATAGATTGGACTACGTCGTTATTGTTGGACATGAATTCGCGAAGGTTCATGCCCATCGTAGAGAATGTATCCTTGCATTGTGTTCGTTTTCGAATACCTTCCTCGACTGTCTTGGCGCCAATTAAGAACATTTTCGACGTAGGTATTTGCGAGGATTTCCTCTTGTTATCATTTTTCCCTTTGCGTTCAAGTGCATATTTTATGGACATACTGAGTAAAAACGGTGAGGCATTTACTCCAAATGGGATACGTGTGAATCGTAAGATGCGTATGTTGTCTCTAGTTGGTCCTTTGGTGGTGTCCTTTGAGCCAAAGGAATCTCGTCGCATCTCGCTGGTCTTCTTGTAGTCGTATTTGGTGGAATGCTTTCTCCACGTCTGCTATTATTAGTATTGGTGTTAGACGGGCTCTTAGTAGCGTTCCGCACAGGTCTGGTAGTAACGTTGGTCCTTGATGGACGCAGTCGTTCAGACTGGGGACTCCTTTCATGTGACTCGACGCATCGAAGACAATTCGTAATTTTGTTGTTGCACTGTCTTCTTTGAATACAGCCTGGTGAGGGATATAGTGTACCCATCTCCCTTGGACTGTTTTCTCGTTCACCTCTTCGATTATCCCTGATTGGATCTGTTGTTCGAAGGTCTTGCAATATTCGTCCCATATTTTAGGGTTATGGTGTAACTTATTGTACTGGTTTTCCAGTCTGCGTATTGCAAGAGCCTTGTTGTCGGCAAGAGGTGGGTGTTCTGTTTTCCAAGGGAATTGGACGTAAATGAGGCCGTTTTTGATTTGTACGGTGTCGTAGTATTGTTGGATTATACTTCTTGTTGTGTCGTCTCTTTCTTCGTCCGTTTCGAAGGACTCGATGCCGAATAGACGTTGCACTAGGGAGTCCATTTCGTCTTGTGAATGATGTTCTGTAGGTTCTTCCTTAGAGACGGGAGATGTTCTTGATGAAACGGTCACTGGGTATCCTGACAGTACCGGTCCAAGTTTTGTTTTTGATTCAACTAATCCTGACGGGAGTTGGCGATTGGAGTTAAATTCGACTACGTCCCAATAGTTGTCTATTCCTATGAGGACGTCGACTTCAATCTCCTTTGATGTTACTTTTTGATGATTGTTAACGAGGATGTTGTTGAAGCTGGGATCCGTTGGTACTGTAGTGATGTTTTTTCGTGTCCAAAGATGGAGTGTAGTCGGAGTGCCGTTTGTTTTGTTTTGGAGTATAATTTTAACACGGTACGATTTTTCGGTGTTTACATGGCCTCCAAAGGCTAAAGTTGTGATGTTGCGTGGGTCCTTTAGCTTGAGTCCTAGGTTGATAGCTGTATCCTTCTTTATGTAGCTGTGTTGAGAGCCACTGTCTAGGAGTACTGTGAGGAATTGTTCTTGTTTGGTTGTTTTATTGATTGTTAGTGCTTGGACTACCATAAGACGTGGAGATTTTCTGTAGTTCGTCATGGTGTCTATCTTTGTATTTCGTTTTTCGCGTGGAGCCGTGTTCGATATTGTTTGTGTTCTTAGGGTATTCACGCGAAATACTTCTTCGTCGTATTCGTCGGATGACCTCTCAGAATTGTCTGAGTCTGTGTCTTCTTTAGGTCTTGGGCTACGCACGTCTGGTGACGAGCTAGAGTAAGTATGCGTTTCGGATGTTTTTCTGAATCCAACTCTGGGATACGGTGATCCTTTTCGTTGTTGTCGCCCTTTCCTCGTAGGTGATCTTCCTTTTCTGAGGGCGGGGCTTGGGGATCTGTATTTTCTTCTTAAGCCGCTTCTTGAATAGGTTTCTGTTTGGTAACTGTCGGTGGAACTGTCTCGATTTTGTGGTCTTCGTCGTGGACTAATCGAACTACTTGGGCTATTGTATGGTTTTTGGAAGCATAGCGTTTCGTGATGATCTCTTCCGCAATAGCGACACAACGGAGCCCTGCAATGGTGTTTTGTATGTCCCGGATTTAGGCATTTCCAACACAGTTGTTCTTTTATCACCAGTTTTCTTTTTGAGTTTGGTGATATGATTTCGTCACAGGCGGACACTCCGCCCCAAAAGAATCCCTCATTGGGCCTAAGCCCTGAGCCCCCCGACTGCAGGCCGAGCGCACGGTGTGCTGCCAAAACCCGGCTTGACGCCAAAGAAAAAAGTAAAAACCTTGGTGCTTGTAGCTTAGCTTAGAGAAAGGGCTCGACTCCCATAATGAGCTAGCGCCTACTATAAATGGAACTTATTACACTTAACTAAACAAGAACAAAAAGGCACTAATTAGCAACAAAACTAGATAAGTGAGGTAATGGATTAATAACAACGAGATAGCATGGTAAAGCACTTGAGTAAACACGAGGATCTATATACCGGCGTAATAATGAGGTTAATAATAGGAGGCAAAATTATAACTTCATTGAGATTTAGTAAACGATAACATAACAGTAACAAATTAGTAGTAACGGAGGAATAATGTAGTACGGTTATAATATGGCGTCGTAGACAGCAGCGGATATATACTTAAAGTAGTCGCGTGTGTCGGATCTGGAATTAAAGAATACACTCAAGAAGTAAGCGATACGAAAATGAAAGTAAACTTAGGGATAGAGTTCCCAAAGTGAACTATTGTCATAATTGAGTGTTCGTAAGAACCGACGTCGGCGTTAAGCTGCAAGTAACGTAAAACCTGAAGTGAGTAAGTGAGATAACAAACAAGTGCGTTAGAAAAGGGAGTAAATACAAATGTAAAACTGAAGCCTCTTTGTGAACTATGACGAAAATACCATTGGGCGAAGTAATAATGGTGGTAGACAAGATGGCGCAGCGGTCGACTGTCCTAAATGAACGATTAAGGAAACACATAATCACTTACCTGCTGCGTCAGTCGATAATCGTGCACCATAATTACGTCGGCCACGGTCGTCTTTGGATTAAAGGGGAAACAAATGGACTATAAGGATGGAGTGCGCGGGGTGTTGAACTAATACGAATCGTCGCTGACGTCTGGCGAGAACCCCATATCCCTGGCCAATTCCGAGGCAGAGGGTCGTGGCGGCAAGGCTCTCGCACTCTCTCACGTGCCGGCTGGCGAGAAGGTCCCGGGCGGTCGCATCCTGTGTCCTGTACCGGTCTCGGAGAGGTCGGTCGTATCGTCGGCGAGGAACGCCTCCTTCAGGCGGTGGCACGTAGGTGTGGTAGCTGAGCATCTTCGTAAAGCTCGTCCGGCGGCATGTTGCCCAGATCGTTGACGGCAAACGGATTGAACACGCAGAACGATCTATGATGCCTTCCTTCTCGCACAGACTGCAAGGCGTCTCTGCGGAGGCACGAGGCCCAGTGCACTTGAGGCAGTTGCTGCAAATCCCCCTTCTCTTGGCTATGTCTAGCCGGGTGGATAGGTAAGGGTAAGCATCGCAATCGACGAGTAATGGCCCATCTGGCCTGCAGAAGGTGCAAGGTTCACCTTTCCATGTCTCTCCGAAGGCACTTCGCGCACGGAACCGAGAGCGAGAGCGGTGAGCGGAGGTTGACGTAGTGCCTGTCTCCCCTGAGAGCCATGACTAGGGGCCTGACGCGGTGGACTGCGTGGCGGTACTCGTCTCCGTAGGAACCGCGACTAGGCGAGCGACGTGGTGGACTACGTGGGGGTGTTCGTCTCCCGTAGGAGCCGCGACTAGGCGAGCGACGTGGAGGACTACGTGATGGTGCTCGTCCTCTATGAGGGCTGCGACTAGGGAACGACGGGTTGGACTACGGCGGGACTTCGCTGGTTGGTGGCCGCGACTTCTTGTGGCATGATGGCGAGGCACGCTTCCGCTTCGTTGCTCCCGAGTGTGATTCGGGTGGATTCGGAGGAGTCTTGGACCGTGGTCCAGCAGCCTCGGGCGAGCGGGAGATGAGTTGCCTGGGGAACAGCTTTTGGAATAGTTATTGTCGTTGCGGGTCGTTGCGACGGCTGCTCTGGGGCAGTTGGAGGGGGACCCGCGAGCGCGTTCCTGCTGTATCCTATCGAAGCGGGAAACCTCAAGATAGTCGTCTGTTCTTCTTATTAGCAACGCGTCAGAGTAGTTCTCGCGCCACCAGCGTAAAGTCTGGATGTTACGAACTAGGTTCGTCCGACCATGGAGGGGGATTGTTAGAACGCCGACTGGAATCTATATTGTTCGTCTTCAGCTGTGACGCGAACCGTTTTACGGTTCATGATGTGGACCATTTGGTGGGCTTCCATCACTCTGATCATGCGTGTGGCATGGGCTGTGACGGCTGAGCAATGTTGGAGTATTTCCATGACTTTTTGCTCAGTTAAGCCGACCAGCTGAAGGGTGGCTCTAAAGAAGTCCGTGTCGTCGTCCCACTTAAATAGACGGGGGATAAGTAGTTCCTGGAGTAGATCTCGGTTGACTGAAATGGAAGTAATACTATTGAGTCAATTCGTGGATCCAGCCATTAGATGGGTGTATCTGATGTCGAGGGGCGTGGCGTCTTACTAGTAAAACAGCAAGATTGTGAAATGACTCAGTAGTATACTCTACTATTTCGAGCAACGTTTTCGTTATATGGACTACCTGAGAGACTGCATCAAAGTTCGACGGGCGGGCAGGCGTGGTTTCTCTGTCCGGGATCGTGAGTGTTCCTGATTTGGTCTCTCAGGACGTTGTTGGTTGTTATGTAGTCGAACACAGTGCGGAATTGACGTGCTGTCAGTTCCTCAACTGTGTACGGCTCCCGCATTAAATGAACTATAGGGGGCTACATAAGGTTTCCTGCAATTGAAACAGCCGTTGGATTCGTCCTGAGGGGCGCGTTTCGTCGTGTTGGTTCTGGCTCGTCTGAAAACTCTTGAAAAATTCCGCCACCTGATCCATTCTTTCTTGCCTTTTCTTCAACGCTTGTTCCTTTGCTTCTTTTTCTGTCTTTTTGTCGGTAATTTTCTTGGTTTTCGTTCGCCAAACTGAGTAGGAGCCTCCCTCTGGTGTTTTGTCCCTGCGGGGTTCCCAATCGTCCGGATCTTCTTGAGTAGGAGCTTCTTGTTGGAGTTCTGATGTTCCCTCCTGGACTATTTCCATGGGCTCCTGGGTGGACTCCGAGGTTTCCTGGTTTCCAGTCTTTTCTACGCTGAGGGAGGCTACGGCCGTAGACATCTCTGTATCTGTTGTTTTTTCGTTTCGTCTGTCGTATCCGATGTGCCGGCCCAGTTGGGGTCTCTTGCTGCCAGTTCCATGACGATTTGTTGTGCCCATGAGTATTGGATTTGAGGTTCCACGAATGGTGACGAGTGGGACCTGGTCGGACTCTGGGTTTCGCCCCTGGTGGTGTGATGTTGTGGACTAGTGCGGCGGCTGGGCGGTGCTGGAGTAACGCGCACAGAGCGGGTACTGGAAGTGGGTCTGGATGGACTAGTGTTATTACCGTGGCTTACGTCAGACTACCTCTGTGCCTGGACGACGACTCCAACCGCGGGTTCTTTTCCCTTGAAGGATTTGGGACTACCATGTGGCTGAACCATTAATAGTAGCGAATGGCAGGAATAGTTGTAAATCGAGCTCTAAAAAACGAGCTCTTCGAATAAGGTTAAAATTGTAAAACGAGTGCGATTATGCAGCAAGCGATGGTTAAAAATAAATTGAATGGAATAAGGTTCATGAGTTAGTGTTGAGTATGCAATTGCAATGCGAACTAAAAAAAATTAAAAAATGGATGTTGTATCGGTTGTTAGTCGTGAGATTTGTTAGATGAAGAAGTGGATTAATTGTTTTGTGGTGAGAAGATCGTTGGGATGTAGGCGACATGCTTAATTGAGATCAATGAGATTATGATTTGAGAATATTGCGTTTTGTGAATGAGATGGTAATGATGAAGGAATTTATGGACTAATATCATTTGTTTTATTATGGGAATGTGTGGATGGATAGAATACTTCAAGTGATATTAGTCCATGGATCAATATTGATCGAAAATGAGAATTTACTATTTTGTGTAAAAAGGCATGAACTAATTGACATTATGCTTAAATTGTGATGAAATGAAACTTGGATATAAAAATTTAATTATATGAAGTTAAGGTGTTATGAATGTTGTAAATAGTAATGATGTAGAGAGTTAGTTCAAACGTGTCGCATTTTTGGCTAGTTTATGAGCAATTTGGTGAGTGGCGACTTTTAGGAGATTGAGATGGACTAAAAGCGTTGAAGAAAATACATGATAAAGTAGATAATGATGAGAGTTACTTATTTTCAAAATATGTCGCCTTTTTGACTAGCAATTTCGAAAGGAATATGATGAGAAATGGAATATAGGATGTAAAATAGTAAGGAGGCGCGCGACACGAGAAACTGAGGTTGATTGAAGGCAATAAATGATCAAACGATTATTAAGTGAGAAGGTAAATGGAGGAAGAGTAGTTATTTCAAAATGCGTCGCCTTTTTGGACTACTTGATCTTAATCTAACGATTACGAATATTTAAAGGTAACATATAATGCTAAAACGTGGCGACTGTTAGTGAATAAAAAGTGCCATAATCGGCTCGTACCTGATTATGTCGATTGAGGAGACGAATAAATGAACCACAACGGAAGTAATATAAGGAGTAAATGATAATGTGAAGAATGTCGTTGACTTGTAGACGCCGTCGAATGAAAGGCGTCGTCATGAATCTTCGATTTCGTCATTTCGGCGTTGGCGCGTGTCTTACTGTAACTTCCTGTTGGCTTGATCGGTTAATTGGATGATAGCTGGAATGGAGTTTAGTACACTGTTATTGACTCTTTTTGTTATGATTGTAATTTGTGTATTATTGATGTGATGGAAAAGGAATTGAAGGTATGAGCCAGCTAGATAGGTAGACCACAAGAATTTGTGTGTTAGTTCATGGTAGGTTTTGAAGGATGTAAGTTATTAGTGATGAAATTTATAATTGTGAGAGAACTTACTTTGCTGCTCGTTCCTTCGCTATTCGCTTCGGTTGTATTCGTGTAGGTTTTTCTCTTTCCTTTGGTTGTTTTTCGGTTGAGGTGCCCTCTTTTGAAATAATTTCAAGAGGGATCAGCTGATTGATAGATCTATCTAAAATTTATTATTTCCGGTTTTGATTTTCACGGATCGTACTGATCCGTCAACGGAATCGTTAATTTGTACTACAAGGCCAAGGGGCCACAGCGATCGTGGAGTACTTTCTTGTTTCATTAGTACTACTTCTCCAATTGTTTGAATCTTTGTGGCGTGTTTCGAAATTGGCTCGATTTTGATTACGTTCTGCCAGATTTTGAAGATAGTCTTTTTGCCAATGATTCCAAAACGTCGTTAGTGACTCTTGGAGTAGTACATATGAATTAGTTAGGTCTTCCTGTGATTCTAAAACGAGTAATTGATCGCTGTTGTTAAATGCCTCTGTGTGGGAGATGTGAAATGAGGGTTAATGAGGTCAATTGGCCGTAGTACAAATGCGGTATCCGTTGAATTGGTTACGACTGGAGTGATTGGTCGTGGTGTTTAGCATGGACTCTATTTCTGAAATAAGAGTTTGCTAGGTCCAAATATCGACAGTGCGTCTATGGATGGTTTTCTTCAGTGCTGATTTTACTGATCCTACAAGCCTCTCGTAAAATCCGCCTTTCCAGGGGGAAAGAGGGTTTATGAATTTCCATTTGAGGCCTTTGGACGTTGTAAAATGTTGGACTACTGGGTTCTCCTTAACTTCGCGTAGCTCGTTCGTCAGGACTTCTTTGCCTAGCTTGAATGTGGGCGCGTTATCGCTGAAGACTAGAGCAGGTGTTCCTCTACGTGCCATGAATCTTCTAAAAGCTAGGACGAATTGTGAAGTGGAATTGTCGGCTACGATTTCTAGGTGCAGGGCGCGAGTTGCCATGCACGTAAAGAGGCACACCCAGAGTTTTGTGTCTTCTCCTCGTTCGGACGCACTGTTAGAGGACCGAAATAATCTAACCCTGTATTTTGGAGGGGTTTGCTTCGAATTACTCTTTGTATAGGCAGATCCGGTCGTCGCGGGTATGGGAATGGTTTTCCCTGGTATCTTCTACAGGTGACGCATTTCTTGACGACGGAGTTCACTATCCTGCGGATTCTGGGGATGAGATATCGATTCCTCAGGTCCGCTATCATATGCGATGCTCCGGAGTGTAATAGTTTATGATGCGTCTCCTGTATTATCATTCTTGTCAGCCGATGGGTTGGCAGGAGCAGGATCGGGTTTTTCGCCGTTTCGGCGATTTCTGCATTTGCCATGCGTAGGTCTCGCCGCGTATATTCCGTGGGGGTCCTGTGATACCTCTAGGCGTTGTACTGCGCGACCCTGGAGCTGTAGAATTCCTTTCGCGGTAATGTTCCCGTAGTAATAGGATTTCTGCGGCTTTTATGTCGTCTGCGGTAATGGCTTAGTGGTAGATACAAGAGTTAATATTCCATAGTTGGATTCGTTTAACGACGTGCCAGATTTGCTCTTTTGTCTGAGACAAGCTATATATTTTAGTACATATGCAGTAATTCGAAGTAATTTGGAGTATGAATTGGTTTTGTCAAATGGGATGAATGATTTATAAGTATCAGTAGTAGTGGTGGTTGTTGTTATGGATTTGAACTCCTTTTGGGCTTCTTTTGTTGTGGTGGGCTTCGTTGTGGAAGTCCATTTCGATGTTCGGCCAAATAGTTGTAGGTGTCAATATGAAACTAGGCCCGTGCCACCACATGTGATTAGTGAGCTCGGAGGCAGATAAGCCTTTTGTTGCACAGTCCGCTGGATTGTCTTCTGTGTTGACGAAGTGGAATCTGTGAGGTATATTTGCTTCTATGAGCTCGCTGATCACTTCTTTCACTTCTTGACCCTATTGTTGACGAAAGGTTTTCATTTGTTTGTTGGAGTGTATCCAGTAGAGGGCTATCTGGGAATCAGATAGCAGGTGTACTGAACTAAGAGGAATTTGGAGATGGGTTCGTAGGAAGCGTACCATTTGTGTAGCCAAAACGGAGAGTAAATTCTAGTCTTGGAATTGACGTCTTTTTGAGGGCAGCCAATTTAGCTTTTGCAAAAAGCAGATGGCTAAATGGTTTTCTTCTTTTTGGCCTGCATACTAAGTATGCGGCTGCTGCGAAGGCCCTTGTGAGGCGTCCGAAAAAATTACTAGGTCGTACTTCGTACTGTTTTCTTGGCGGTTATGAAGCGGGGTACGTTTCTAATGAATCCTTGATGTCCTCTGTGATACATTTCCATTTCTGTGACGTTGTTTCGTCGAAAGGGTCGTCCCATGAATAGTTTTGAATCCATAGGTCTTGTATGAAGATTTTGGCTTTAATGAATAGTGGTGTTAGGAAGCCCAATGGATCAAATGTAGAGGCGAATGCTTTTAGTGCAGTACGTTTAGTTGTTACTTTTTTAGTTAGTTTTTTATTGGGGTTGTTAGTGTATCTTGTTGTGTATCCCATTTTAGTCCTAATAGGTTCACTGTAGTAGTGTTGCTCTTGATTCTATCTTCGAGGGGATAGATTGGACTACGTCGTTATTGTTGGACATGAATTCGCGAAGGTTCATGCCCATCGTAGAGAATGTATCCTTGCATTGTGTTCGTTTTTCGAATACCTTCCTCGACTGTCTTGGCGCCAATTTAGAAACATTATCGACGTAGGTATTTGCGAGGATTTCCTCTTGTAGTACATTTTTCCCTTTGCGTTCAAGTGCATATTTTATGGACATACTGAGTAAAAACGGTGAGGCATTTTACTCCAAATGGGATACGTGTGAATCGTAAGATGCGTATGTTGTCTCTAGTTGGTCCTTTGGTTGGTGATCTAATCTATTTATGTCTCTGAAGTGCATGAGATAGAATATGGGTGTTAGTAACTCAATGATAAACACTGGAATAACTGAAGGATGAGAGAACATGTTAGAAACACAACTCACGTCGGGCCACCGCTCGTAGCCTGCTAGTTGACCAAGGAGAAATTTGATAGAGTCATAATGAATAGCAGTTCTAAGGGCCGAGGCCCCACGTGTCCGTCGCCGAATATGGAATAGTCGCGAGACGACCGCTTCTTAGCTAGACAGATGATGAACTAACCCGGGAGGCCGTGATGACGCCCTTTTATAGGCGCCGCACTTCGATCGTGCGATCACGGATAGATCATAGTTGGTCATGGCGACGGTTACACGTGAGCACCGGCGCACCCTGAGGGATTTCCCTCGGGAGCGATCCTCGCGATCCGCGACAATCCTTTTCCGCTGTGAAAATTGCGAAATGGGGTTCTCACTGAAAAATTCACTGCATTGGCATAGAAAAAGCTGCCCAGAACAGCCACCATGCGAACCAGGTGACAAGATGAATTAGTGCTTGACAGAATTTCTTACGAAATGCCCGAAAATATGCAGAAAACGGAAGCGTAAAATGTCCACAGTGTGAGGGTACGGTTCGGGATCTGAAGGAACTTGTGAAGCACTATTCGATGTTACACTGTATGGACGAGGGGTACAACGTAAGCAAGATATCATTCGATACCAAAGGCGATTTCGAGGTTAGAGCTTTTTTTTGGAGTGAGATTCACAATATGAAGATTGCCAAGGGAATTCATGTTCTTAGGAGTGGATGAAACTGGCGCAGGATGCATCCATAACATCCTTCGTAGTCCGCAGCAAGAAAATAGTAAAGGGTTTTACTCGCGTATACTACAGATGTCATCGATCAGGGTCATCACCTTTTTCAGTCGCTTCGACAAACACTTGCGAACGTTCAGTCAGCCATTGTACCGCGTTTATAAATGTGATTTACCGCACAATCGCTGATTAGTTATTCAGAAATAAATAATCAAATTGCTTTAGGCAAAGTTTACTTCTGCGCAAGTTCATGTTGAATATTGCCTTGCACATGTGGGACATGAGCCCGATCCCGCTCTTCTATGGTTAGACAATTACAATGAACAGTTAATCGTGGATATGCTGAAAGAAGGGTTCAATTATGGGCAAGTGAAACAGAAGATAAGAGAAAGATACAGGAACTCAAACGGAAACAATGGGACGGAGAATCGCTTGTTTTTCGTTACAGTTGGAGACATACGGTTTGACTGCACACATGATTATATCACTCGAGGGCCATCAGTAGGCGGAACAATCTATTCCCCGGGCGGCGCGACCTGAATGACTCAACTTCTCTAGAGAAGCGGATTGGTGAAAGAAATGTTGGCGATGGAATCCGCTACTATGCTCCTAGTCTCAATGACACCGGCGATGGATTTTGCCTGGGTGAGTCTAAAAGTTCATGCATAACTTTCGCGCATATTACATTGCTTTTTCAGTCATAATCATTGAAACGCAACGGAAATGGCTGACAGACTTTTCGCAAAGAGGTATTGGAATCGACGATACATTTAACGTGTCTATGTACAAGCTACGGCTTGCTACAATCATCGTAGCTGATCACAGTGACAGAGCACTTCCAGCTGCTTTCATGCTTAGTTTCAGGTAAAAACACAACGTTCTGCTTGGTCTGCACTACTAGATGACACCTGTATTGTAGGATGAGCGAGAGCGAACTTGTTACTCTGTTCGACAAGGTGAAAGAATTGGTTCCCGCGTTTGCGCCTAATTTTCTTCGTGTGTTTCCTAATGCTCACACGCGGAAGATACTTTGTAATTGACACGTTTTGCAAGCTTTCAAGCGTTCTGCTAGGAAGAAATTGACGAAGGTGGACCCAATACTCAATACAAGCCCGAAACGCGCTTTTCTATCATCTCCTTCCTTTGGCCGTCGTTGCTTGGGGAATTCATGTCAAGGATTCGTCTAGTCAGCAGATCATGCAAACCAGTAATTTTCACGAAAAGATATGGAGATACTTTAACGTTCCTTTTGAACGAGAGCCAACACAATTTAGTCGACTATTTACACCGAAACTGGTAAATTTTTTCACTGCTGAATTTTTAAAACTTGTCATGTACGTTCAGGACTCAACGAGTAGAGGAGTGGGGTGCCCACCATAGGAAAGGTGCGGTGATGAATACATCTATGATGTGCGAAAGGTGGCACAAGCACCTTAAAAGGGAAGTGTTCTGCTCCAGGAGCAAAATAAGAATAGACGAGCTGGTGGATGCTCTTATCACGACAGTGAAGGAAATGAAGGACGATGCTGCAGTGATAGTAAGTTTTGTTCCAACTGATGTCCAAAGCACTTTTTGGTAAAACCAGCTTTTTTCAGGAGCAAAGAGGTCTTGTGGAAGGTCGATGGCGTCTCCAGAATCACCACATTAGCCACAACAAGGCGATCAGTATTTATGGGAACATGCGAGAACAAATCCATGTTGTGGAGCCTGGGTTGTGGAAAGTGCGCTCGCATAAGTCCGACACGTTCTTCATGGTGGAGGAAGAACGTTGTCCATGTACGAAGGTACTCACCAGAGAAGTTACCCGTGACTGCTGCTGCAGAATCGTTTGTGCAGGAACTAAATCACTGCCGCAAACCCGGTTGCTCAGCCTGTCCGTACTCGTTCTTTTGCGAATGCGATGAGGATCGTAAGGCAGGGATCTCCTGTATGCACATCCAGGCTGTTAACTTATATGCATCGCAAGGTAGGGCGATACAATGATATCATAATCCTGTATGAAGCATCATGCGTTAAAGGACGCCTTCCAAACATTGGAGCAATGGAGAATCTCGCTAGCAGCGTCGACATTGGATCTCCGGATGGCGCTCTCGACATACCGTCGACTAGTCGATTTCAACCCTCCGGTGTGTCTGATCAAAACCAGTCTGATAGGAATAAGGAGCTGATTCAACAAATCGAGATGGTATTTTCAAAAGAATTCACATGCCTTTATAAAGCAGTATTGGGCGAAACGACTACTTTACAAGGAATACGCCGTTCTTCACTCATTAATGCTACGCGCTGCATCAGATTCGAGTGAGGAAACAGGAGAGTCTCTAAATGAAGCGCTTGCCTCCATGAAACGAAGCGTCGCAAAAGGAAGGCTTTCTATAACCGCCCCTGTAGCAAAGAAGAGGCACGTCATCGCACCTCGTCCTGAACTTCCGATGAGAGGTCCTGCGGCTGCAGATGCCAAACCAATTAGAATGCAGACTGAGCTGATATCCTTTCCTAGAATTTTTCCTCGGTTTTTTTCAAATGACTTTTCAGACGTCTTCTTTGAACCGGAGGAAACGGAAGGCAAAAAATGAAATACACAAAGAATACGCGATCGCGGATGTACGAGTTTGTGGATATTGTTCCTTGGAAAATCCACTTAGTAGTGATAGCAATGACGTATACTGGTTGAAATGTACCTCTTGCAACACGTGGAGTCATCTGAATAACTGTGCTATATTGAATAGTAAGTGCACTATCTGTAGTTTTGGAACTTTGGAATACAGCGAGTGTTAGTCTAGATGCAAATTTTCGCCCTCATCATTTTTGTGTAGTTGTCTTCTGGATATTTCCCTTATTTGTTATGGTCTACAGAGCTTGTTAAACTATGGGAATCATTCCCCCATAATTGTTACTGTTTACAGAGTTTGTTATACTACCGGGATAATTCCTCTTTCTTTCTTGTTGCTTTTGATCTCGTTTTTCGTACTGTTTGTAAGTTTCAAGTGATAAGGTTGAGTCGACTTTCCAGGGTAAAAATATACGTGTATTCAAAAAAGCCAAAATGACTACTGGTAAATTTGTTGCTCTTATTGTGCACATATCACGTCATACAGTGTGAATTTATCTTGTTAATGTTACGATGCTAGGTGATCACCTCTAGAAGAATTGAAGCGTAATGTACGAAGTATTCCTTTCATTTTGGATGATAAACATAAATTTCGTAATAGCCCTAGGGTTCGGGAGCCAACTTTGGAGAGTTTAATTCATTCTGCATAAAAGTCGGACTACAAATTTCTTGCTTTGTCGTGCTCATGTTATCACGTCATGTAATCATGTGAATGTAAAATTTGTGATGTTTGTGTAATCATACTACTTTATCTCTAGAACGATACCAATGCGCTTAGCATTATGTACAAAACATTACTTCCATTTGGTTTATAAACAGTCAATTTAGAATAGCTCGTTTGGGACAAAATGACAGAAGTTCCTCTTCACTCTGTATGCTAAGTCTTTCGCAGAGAAGCTAAAGTGATGAGGAACCACGTTACGAGAGGTCCTCTCTATCTAGAAGAATCTATTCTAAAATATGTCAAGTATCACAAGTTACAAAAACTTGTTCACTCTGAGTACCACACAGACCAACCTTCTTTGGCTATCGCTAATAGTTCAGATAGCCGTAAAAAACGGGAGAGGTTGTAGAAAGTTCCACGAGGTGATTTTTATATGAATGAATAGCATTTTTCATAGGGATTTGAATGGTGTAACTTTGACTGGAATTTTCTCCTTATGAAAAACATGTGATATTTGCTTTGAGATGGCCTTGGAGTTGACACCCGATAACAACTGCCAGCTTGAAATATGCCGCTACTTCCCCCTAAGTTGTCTGAAAGCACAGTTCGTACTGTATAAAGCTCCCTTATGGAACTAGTAGAGCCACTCAGAGCGCTGGAAACCCTGTTTGCTGAAAGTCGAGCAATTGTTCTAGTATCGCACGAAACACCCATTTCAAGTGTTGAAAAACTCTTCTTTTCGACTTCATTCTTGAAAGTCCGAACATCAAGGAAAACAGGGATCCATACACTAGGCAAGTTGTACTCATGTGGTCCGAACTAAACCACAGCTCGAGATTTTCCGGACTGAAAAGGCTATAACGTCCGGAAGTGAGATCGCGCGAAACCCCTCAATTTTCGGGAAAATGGGCACCAAAATGATCAGCAGCATTTGGGAAACACAACTATCTAGATTTCGGAGTATCGTGCTGTCCCGGAGTCTCATTTCTTATCTGAGTGTGTAATAACAATGTGAAACTCCAAAGTTTATTCCAAAAAACTCAAAAGACAGTGAAAGTCTCAAAAGTTTATTGTATTATATCTTAACTTGCAATATTTCGGTGCGTAGCATCTTCTTCAGGCCTTCGGGACAACTGGCCTGACGAAGGTGCTATTAGAAACAAAGAAAAACAAATATTGGGGAAAGGAATACACTCAACATCACAGATGATCCGTTTCGCCCGTTATCGTAGACGAATCATCGATGTCTTACCAACCCCCGAGCTCCTCAGTACGATAGAGTTGAGACATGGACATGGACTACATAGGGAAGGAGTTAAGAAAAGGATATAGCGAGAAAAAATGCAAAAAAGTTGACATGCAAAATCCATGCAATAAAGATAAGAAGGAACTGTGCAAGGTAAAAGAAAGAAGGATATAACCGGTGTGGGTACAAGATTGGTGTAAGAGGAAGAAAAATGGATTGTTGTAGATGGGCTAAACAAACTAAGGTAATAATGAGTAAAAGACACTGTCGCAGCGGATTAAAAAGGTTAAATCAAAAATTTTGTGGTGAAATGAGAGCTAGTGTTGAACACCGCTGCCAATGAGAACACCTCTAACCAGTCTACTTATCTTGTTATAGTTATTTGCAATAGAGTATTTGCAACCTAAAAATTTATTTAAATCACTTCACAATGCTAGTAATAATAAACTCTTCTTCGTAGCCATTTTTCGAAAGAATAGTGACCATATCCGTTATTTTGCTTACGAATACATTGAAGAAAGAACAAGTGTTTGCTAACCTCAACGTTTCCGTATATATAACAGAGGATTTGTTAATAAGGAAAATGTTTGTGTCACTGTGGGGAAATCTAATAACATTGAAGCTGAAATCATCCGTTTTATTATACAGCTTGGTAAATTTTACCGTTAGTAATATTAATTGCTAAATCTAAATAACTGCTGGAAACTTCACTTTTGTGATTTTTTTCAATTGAAGCGTATTTTGATAAACTTGAGAAAGTTGCTCATCCACTTCACCATCAGTTTGGTTATGTACAACAAGCAAGTCATCCATATATCTATATGGAATGAACAGCTTACTGTTGTTATACTTTTTGGATTTAGCATAGTAATACTCCATGACAGAAAGCGTAAGATCTGCCAGTAGTGGACTAAAATTGCCACCTTGCGGGACACCTTTAGTTTGCTTGGACGTATCACTACCAAAAAGACAAAAACTGTTTCGCAAAAGATAATCGATCAGGTATGCTAAATCGCTGGTTTTGTAATATCTGTAGTTGTTTTTAATTTCTTTACCATCTGCATAAAAAACATGGTAACCATTAGTGGCAATAAAGGATCTGTTGGCATTTTTGAAGCAAATGTTAAGAAGTTCTTGCATTTTCTTCATAATGAGATCATGTTCTAAATTTGTAAACATGCCCGTAAAATCCGCAGTGTAAATTTTGAGATTGTCGCATGTGATGCTGTGTAGTTCGTGACTTATATAATATCACTAATAGACCAGTATGTCTTGATAGTCCTGTTGCGATTCTGTATTACCTTAGCGTAGTTAATAAAGTGATTTTTGAGATGTGTGAAAACTATGCGTAGCTCCTGGGCCAAAGGCTTGACAACTACTGCTATGTGCACCTGTAATGTATCTGAAGTTGACTGGATTCTTATGCAGCTTTGGTAAGGCATATATAGTAGGTATTTCTGCACCAATGGATATATTGATATTATTCTTTACACAAAGGAATTTATGCTCCAATATTAAAAAATACTTGTTAGTATGAGGTATTAATTCATATGTGTTATTACTGTTCCCATAGACATATGTGTGGTTGGCAGCATCATAAGAAATGCCCATTTCATGCATTATGTTCAAAAGGTAGAACTTCTTGCAGATGATGCCATAGTTATTATTT